GATGGAAATACTGCCGGTTAAATGGTAATTAATCTTTGAACCATTTGACATTTGCCTAAGCTGGGGAGAAGTAACGAGCAGAAGCCCACTGTCTCTGTGTGGGGCAAGGCACTGGCTCAGGAGGCACTGCTCTGGTGTCACCTGGCCAAAGCAGGAGTGACTTTGTCATCCAGCCTCTCTGGGTGCCAGCTGCCTGGGGCAGTGGGCATGGGTTGTTTTCTCAGAGCTGGGCGCCACTGTCTCTTGCCTGTACTGCACTAAGCATCCCTTATTCAGAGGGACACATTCAGTCACCTCCAGAAGGATGGAGGCACCAGGGACCGGTGGGTGCCCGAGGGGACGGGGCTCATCCATGAAGGGGGTGCAACATCTGGAGGGCTTCCTTATCCTCACTACGAGACAGGTGAGTGGGAATGGCAGCAACGTTTTTTTCCGAAACCATCCAAAGCAGCCAGGCACAGCCCCAGGCGTTTGCCCTTCAAGACTCCAGGAAAACCAGCTGAGAGATCCGCTCTCTCCCTCCGCACTGTAAGATGTGCTTCATTCCCTCCCATGCTAACAGGCTGTCACCCCTGGGCTGGGGGCTGCCTGTCTGACCCCGGTACCTTTATGGCAACAAAATATATTTGCGTACATTTTAGACCCACTGACATCGTTCCCTCTGGAAAGCTTCGGGATTTTATAGTAACAACGGATAATGATTTCCAGATTATAGACTAATAAAGTATTTTAATTTGTGAGGAAGGTGGGCACTGTACAATTCTTATGACATTTAAATAGTGCTATTAAAAAAAGGGGGGGGGGGATTCTGAGTGCATTTCTTTTAAAAACAGGAGCACTGAAATAGAAAGTCAAAATCCCACATGCTGGTACCGAGATCAACTCCGACACCTCCCCTCCGTGCCTGTTTCACTTGAATACCTGCCAAGTTAAATAAGCAAACACAGGATTGCGGCGTCCTAGTTGCAAACCCGTTTTTGGCAAGCGAGCCCTCCTCCTTAGTCCCTCTGGTTGCGCTGAGCGGTAGCGACCTGATCTCAGCTCCATGTGCCATTGGCCTCTACGGGCTGGGTCTAAGTAATGGTTAACACAGAGGTTTTGCAACCTCGGCCTATACTCACCTATTTCTTGCACACTCTGATTAACTAACCGGACAAGACCGTAAAGCAAGAAAGTCATGGGTCTAGAGCATCTCATCATTTCCATGGCCTGCGATGAACACCGTGTGCCTCGAGGCAGACCGCTGCAGCAGCCTTTTTTCTCTGGCTGGGTAGCAATTGCATGGTTTGGAGTGAATAAGATTGTACTGAATAAAGCAGGGGCATTTTGGAAGAGGAAGGCTGCCCTTGCAGCTCTATGGGTTGATATGGCTGATAGCTTTGTGCTTCGTTTCCTAACCTGCAAAATTGGGCACTGCAACTCACTGACTTCTCAAAGATGTAGGTAATGGCTTGTATAGTAAAGCAATAAAATAGCATGGAAAAGCCTGCCAAGAAAGAGAAAAATAGTCAAATGTTCAGCTCAGCATTAGTTATAGCTGCCTAAAGAGACGGAGGGTTACACAATGAATATTGTGGAGAAGAATAGCAAAGAAGTTCCTTTGTTCTGTGGGTATTTTTGCCTTGTACCTCAACTTGATCATGTAAGATTAACGGCAGGTTATTATGTAAAATCTGTACTACAAGGCAGAGGCGAGTGTGAGCTTGGGCCTCCTCATTATCATTACCTGACCTTGCACATTCCCTTTTGCAACCTCAGCGGTTTTTTGTGGATAGGATTTCTGGGCGGTTATTTTAAGAAAACTGTGTTAAATTTCTTGCTTCTGTGCCAGGTACCTGCTGTTTAACAAACGGGCCATGACTAAGCATAGAGTGGAAATTAGAAGCATCTACGAGTTAAAGCAATGAGATTCTGGGACTGTCTTCCCTTAGGAGCACATTTAATAGTGGTGCTTGATTATGAAAAGGATAAATCTGATGTGATTGATGCAACAAGGGATTGGACTTGACGATCCAGGGAATCCCTTCCAGCCCTCTCTACTCCTAATGAATTTATTTTTTAAGGGTAGGTGGGGATGCAGTGCTTTACTGGTGGCAAATAATGGCGAAGTGTGTAGATCCCTGCTGATAGTGCGCCTCCATCCCCAGATTTAACCACTTCACATCACCAAGAAGGTGAAACAAGTCTCACTCCTGGTTCTGCCCATTCTGAACAAACTAAGCAGAGGTGCGTGCAAGGATCCTACCTGCTTCTCTCTTTGTATTTTCCAACTACTGAAGGCTTCCAAGAACTCATTCTCGAATCAGTATCACAAATATCTCAGCTTCCAAGTTCCCTATCTATTTCTAAGGTACTTACCCATCTCCCAACACCATAATGACTGTGTCCCTTGCAATCTTTATTCACATCAATCTCCTTAGTGAAGATGAGCAGGGATCCCCTTTCAACAACAGGAAACTGAGGCACAGAAGGCACAGAAGGACTAAGTGAATTTCTTGTGGTGGCAGAGAATATCATAGAATGGATACAGCCCTGTCCAAGGCTGGGATCTCACTGCTAGACCCTTCTCCATGCACCTAACTGGGCTCTCCCTTTCACAACAGGAATAGCAGAGCAGAAAGTATCTTTCAGCCCAAGCATTCACTGATCTGGGATTCCCATCCTTTGACAACCCAAGGGGGCTGAGCTTGGAGTTTCTGAGGGCTCAGTACAAGGTTGTTTCAGAAGGGATGTGCAAGCAAAGTGGTTATGTTCCTTTTTCCCCCTGAGTAGTTTTAATTCGTTAATTCCTACTTGCTAATAAGATAAAATGCTGTGATTTCTGCAGGATCAAATGGTGCAGGATAAGCTAAGGGAGTTTATTAATTAGCATGTTTTCAAGGCTGGGGAAAAAAAAATAAAAAGAAGCAACAGCGTTGTAGATGATAGCTATAAATACGAGCCAAGCATTAGCTGCCATGACATTTTAGCCAAGGGGAGGCTATCATGTTAGTGTTGGGTACGGCTTTTCGGTAGGGAATAAGAATTATAAACAGGAAGGCAAGGGTTTCTCTCTCCAAAATATGGATATTCACAGTCAAATGCCATATTTTTCCAGGGCCTGATCCTGCAGATAATACCAGGTACAGCACTTTGTGTGAGTGCTCCTCTGGCTTCCCCAGGGATTGCTTGAAGTAGTGAGTGGTAAGCAGTTGCAGGATCAGATTCATAGTGTGGCAAGTGTTTTGGATGAAAACAGCTATAAAGAAGTCACATATTATTATGTCACATTGCAAAGGTCATCCCCAGTATTTGTTCTGTCATAAGGACATGATTGAAAGGCAAAAAAATAGTGTCAGGGCACAGGGGAAAATAATTTTTTAAAAACTGCCTGCAGGGCTGAGGATACAAAATTACATCAGTGCTTAGAACTAAATTCCCATCCACACCCCACAATTCAATTTCGGCTCAGAAAGGCATAAACTTAACAAAATCGCCTTTTGGTGGCATATCTTCTTTTCTGCTGACATATCCCCTGTAAAACCAGTGATACCTAAACCCACACTCCCGTGTGATTCTGGCAGCAGTCAGGAACTGCCAGAGCTCTGCTCCTTCAGGGATCCTGGGAGAGCCTTGCGAGATCCGCTCAGCTCCTTAACACCATGTAGGCATTTGCTTAATCCCTCTCGCTGCTGGTGCAGGAGGAGCGGTGGTGATGATGGGAGGAGGCTGGGAGGTGGGACAGCTAGTCCTTTGTCACCTGGCTGGGAGCATACATCTCCCCTAGCAATGTCACAGGGAGGTTTGGGTAATTAATTAGATCCTGGTAATTTGTTCCAGTCATGGCTACTTTGCAAATATTTCTGCCCATCTCTCTGGGCTTGCTGGCACAAGGAAGCTATTGAGAAATAAAGTGTGGAAGCCATCACTTTCCTGCCTTAACTTATTGAGGAGTTATAACTACTCTGCACAGACAGTGTCCTTGGGTGGATTAGCTTGATCCACTTCCAAAACAGACTCAGCAAAGGCTCCCAACCTTCTGGATCAACAAAGCACTTCCTTGTGCACCAGCAGCAAAGCCGCACAGGACAGTCAAGTTCAGTGCTTGTCCCTCTCACAGGCGCCTTTAGCTCACCACCAAGCAGCCTTGCATCTTGCTGGCGGTGGCTACTGGGATGTTGTGACATCTGGGGACCCAGACCGAGCTGATCACCCCTACACAGAGGCTCCAGCATGCAGTGTTGACAATGAGATGATGGCTCATCTCTGTGCGAGGGAGGGTAGGGTGACCAGAGGTGTTACCAACCCACAGCTGCCTCACAAAGCTTCCATCAGCCACCACTCTGGCAAACCTGAACTTCTCTGAGCTGTCAGAGCACCAAACTCACACCAATCCCTCAGTGCTGCTCCTCTGGGCAATGGATGGGAGCAGGAGTGTGGCAGTGATGGTTGACATCCTCTCAATTGCAGCCACAGGCACCCAACCAGTCAGACAACGAGGCTGCGTCTTAGACTAGCAGACAAAAGGCACGAGGGCTAGCATCTGATAGTCCAACTGTTCAAATGGTCTGGTTTAGCCCATGCAAATCTGAGAGTCCAACCAACTGTTGAGAAGACAAGACAAGTCAGGGGCAGCCCCCAGTGAGCAGCGCAAATGCCACCCTACTTGGAGATGCGGAGTGGTTTAGCTGCACAGAGACAAACCATGCTATCCTCGCTGCCACCAGAGCTGGAGGATGGCCCACGCTGTCCATTAGTGCAGATACAGCCTGAACATCCACGGAGGGAGACGGCGCTGCAGACGTTTGCATTCATCCCATATTATCTCACCACACAGACAAGCCCCAGGGAGTTGCTACAGTAGAAACATCTGCAGTCCCCATCACGCATGAGAGCCCCTTCACTGCCAAACACACTAGACCCGACTTAGTCCCAAAGCCACTCAACCCCATGTGTGGTTCCACGTTCAGGTAGCACCAGTCTCCCACTTCCAGCTGCCCCAGGGGTCGAGATCCACTCACTGTTGCAGCTGCCGGTCTCTGTCGCTGCCACGCTGCGCTGAACTGGCCCTTCGGACGCGGCCCTTCCTGACAGTGAATGGGTGAAAACAAGGGAAGGAGATAAACAAAAGAGAAGGGAAGGGTGAGAGAGGGAGGGAGGGATGGGAGAGAATGAAGCAAGGGGACAAGAAGGGAAAGGGTATGTCTTTAACTGAACTGTACGTCTTTCACTGGCTGAAAGATCCCAACACTGCACAACCCTTGCTGCAAGGGCACAGGGCAGGTGAGACCCTCTGGCCCTGGTCACCACCACCTTGCACCCCACACCATCACTTGCACCAGTGCAGAGGGAGGGTGAGCTGGGTGAGAGTCAAGGGTGGGGCTTGGCCTCCTGAAACTTCTCCTTGGACTGTGAGCCACATCCCTTGGGGGATCCAGAGTCCTTCTGCAGACAGGAGATGTTTTAGGAAGCTTGAGAAGTTTCTCTGTACTCAGGTATCCTGCTCTTTGCCCACTGCCAGCCCTTCTGGGCATGGCACAGGGACCCATCTGCCTCTGCCAGCAGAATGAGAACCCAGGACTGATGTTTTTACTCGGGTTAGCCAGAGTCAGGAGCATCATCGGCCAAATGTTTCAGTGAAGCAGCTAGTACATCACCCTACACTTCCCCAAAAGTCTGTCCCATCCATACTGCTGCAGATTGGGAGAGGAAGAAAAAACCTCATCCCACAGCTACCAATCACCTGAAAACCTGCCAGCACTTGCAAAACTGAACCATAGGAGGGGACAAGGGAAGCAAAATGCTGGAGCAGAAAACACAGCAGTATGTTTGTCCGTGTATCAAAGCAGGAAAGATTTGGGGAACAGGAGGGAGCAGAAGGGGTAGGGATCTCAGTGTGCAAATAAAAGAGTGAATAAGGTCTGCTGACCTTCTGGTAAGGTGTTTGTGTTCCCATCAGGACAAAAAGGAGACAAAATTCCAAGATGAAGAGCAGTTGGTGAGCGCGGTGGTTTGGGGGAAAACTTCTGGCTGTGCTGACAGCTGCCCCAGGAATACCAAAAAAATGACCTTAGGGTGTGTCCTGCTAGTCATCACCCTGGGTGCCATCCCACCCCACATCAGAGGTGAAACGTGAGCTGCTAAATGTAGCTGATAGCTCATTCTGCCTGGGGAACTGCCCCATCAATGACTGACTCACCTCCCTTCCCAAAAAACTGAGGTAGGAAGTGGGTGGGGAAAAGGCTTAGAAAATTGTTTCATGATGGTTTAAATTGCCTCTGCACTAAAATGTTACGGTTAGGGAAAAGGAAAAGAGAGACCTATTGCATAAAGCCACATCCTAAACCCAGCTGTGGCAGACGTATGGACATAGGAAAGAAGCAAAGCAAATGAAGTCATCCAGCAGTGGAATAAAACCATCATAATAATATAGTGCAGAACAAAGCAAATTCTACCTCAAACACAGAGCTGAAAGAGGAACATCTTCCTCTGTCAGATCTATTACCATGCATTTATTCCAATAACAAATAACTAACCCAGAGAGTAACCCAAACCTGATTTATTCTTCCATCTAAGTAAATACGAAGAGGCAGCCGAATGTGACTGTAAAAACCACTGATCTCATATGTTTTCCTTGCATGTATTGGAAAAAATAGGAGTGGAGTTTCTGCCTTGCTGCCAGGGGATGCTGGCAAAGCATTTGAGCTATAGATATTGTATCTTGTCACTAATGACTGCAGGGAACTAAAAGGGATTTGGATTTTTTAATGCTTCACATTAATTGATAATTTGGTCTCAGAATCCACAGTGGAACATAGGATTTGCTATATTGGATCAGTCTAGTGGCCCATAAAATCTGGCGTCTTGCCCCAGTGGTGCTCAGAAAAATTATCATCCAGCGTCTTTGCTTATATGGTTGCTGGCCTTTTCTGTAAGGCCATACAATTGGCCTGCACGGCAAGCCTCTTTAAAACCCTGAAACGTGGTTTTGGCAGGGATGTACTCCATCTTTGGGGATTTTTTTTTTTAATGCAAAGAAGAAACTCTGTAACTACAAACACTGTCAGCAGACATGCTGCTGTTTTTCCTCTTGGTCACCACAGCCCAAAGAGTGAGAAAAGTGAACTTGTGTTTTCAGAGGGCAAATGACAATACAACTGAGGCCAGAGCTGGGGAGATGCCTTGTACTGAGCAGAACAATATTGATTAGGCAGTGTAAAGATTTCTCTCACTAATTCCTTTAGCAATCTTAGCATGTGTTCCCGGCATAATTGGATGGGGAAGAGAGAGGTGGAATCACTTAAGTGTTCAAAGCTCAACACACACCGAGAAAAGATTCCTGTTTTGTGTGTGTGTGCAATTTTGTGCATCGTTGCCCCTTGATTTTACATTGAACATGCTCTCTTTGACAGCCTAGCCCTAAACAGCCTGCGTACTAAAGATAGCTGCTTGCAAACAGGCTTCCTCCATCCAGCTGGAGAAGCAGCTCGCTGTGGCTGTGAGGCAGGACTATGAAAGGGGGCTGGGGGGTACACAGGAGGGGAAAGCCTATGGAAACTCCGACCATGCAGGAACCAGAAGGAAAAAAAAGAAAGGCAATGGTTTCTTTCTATGCAAACATCTTAATTAAGGAGGACGATGAAGATATTTGCATCTTACTTGTTCCAGGGAGGTCTTCAGTTTGTCTTGAAGCAAGGCATAAATTATCCATGCTTCCACTAAACTGGCTCATAACTTCTCTGCCTCCAGTTCTTCTGCCAATAATGCTGAAGTTTGGAGACGCTTCCAACCTTTCCCGGCCTATGCGTGAGCTCACGGCTGTCGCCGCGGTAAAGGAGAGCTGAGATCATGGTCCTGCAAGTGGGAAGGCCAGAGGAAGCCACTGGCCAGCTGGGATGCAGTGGGGAAATGGGTCCAACAACTTAGGTAAGGTGAGAGAGAAGGGGTTTACACAACCGAATCTCCCTTGATTGTAAGTGGCAGTGCTCGTTCCAAAGCGTGAATGGTTTATTTTTATATACTCAGGAGCACACACACTGTTTCTCATTCACCTGGGGCTAGATGAATGAAGCTCACTGGCATATGGTTCTCCGCCTTCTTCTGCTCTAGCTACATCTTAAATCAGGCCACCTTGGTAAAACCCAGGAACCATCAGCTTCTCTGGCTTGTCCTGTACAAAATCCTGGTTTCTGCTGACACCACGGAGGAACCACGGGAAAGTCTCTCTGGCTCAGAACTAAGCACTGTGCTCTTTTACATGTATCTCACAGCTTTGAGGCTAATGGGAGGTTCAGAGTGGAGACAGCAGGAGCAACAGAGCACTTTGCATGCAGGCAGCCTCTAGCAGGTGGCTGGGAACCACAGCTGGACATTACAGATTAGAACAGAGGAGGAAAACACTTTCACAGTCAAGGAGGGGGAAAACTATTCAAGGATGTGTGCTGATCACAAGTAGCTTCTAATGCCTCTCTGGATCTTCTTGGCTGCACCCAGGGAACACTGAAAACAGAAGAAAGTCCTGCCCTATTAAGTTTTATGGGAAGGAAATTGCTTTGAAGAAAAAACCTCCTGACATCTTTGCAGGAAACCTACTGTCTCCAGTTTTCACAGCAGAGGTTAACAGGCTTGGGTAGTTTGGCTACGCTAAGAAACAATCCCAGCTTTTGACTGGTTACTCCCCCAGTACGTCCCCAGCTCCCAGGAAAGCAGAGATCAGCCTGGACAGCTTTTAAGAGCAGCCAAAGTCCAGTTAGGTGAGACCCTCTGACCTCAGTCAGAGACAGAGGAGAGTATGGGAATAGAAGAGCCCACAGCGTATGTCCCACAATATCTTCCAGTCCTCAATAATCCATAGCACAGAGATTTCCTGAAATGGGGGAGGTATTTTGTCTGATAACCCCTGATAGATAACTTTGCTTTTACAGTTGTGTTCAATCACTTTTTCAACCCATCTCAGCTGTTGGCACCTACCATCTCCCAAGATGAGGAGCTGGGCAATCTGTTCCAGTGCCTCACTACCCTCACTCACAGTTAAATTCTTCCTTACATCTAATCTAAATCTACCCTCTTTCAGTTTAAAGCCATTACTCTCTGGCTTATCAGATGATAAATTTGATAAGCTCTCAGTAAGTGTGTAAGGGTTTGGGTGGGTTTTGGGAAACATATAGGGGTCAAGCATGGAGGTCAGTGTTTGGGTGAATATCGAGACTGTATTAAACAAAAAATTTAAGCCAAATGACTTGCAATGCAGCAGCAACATATCCCGAGCAGGAGGAGAAGTGAGCATGAAGGTCAAGTACCAGAGCAGAGAGTTCTTATTTCCCCCAAACAAACTGCTCTTTTGTGCCTGTGCTTCAAAGATGTCACCTGATTGTGAGAGCTCTTCACCTGTCACATCCCTCTCATTACTGAAATAAAATAAATGGCAACAGCATGAAAACAGCAACTAAAGCAGGAGAAAGACAGGTAGACAGCGAGGAAAGGGGGAGGGGGGAAACAGGGTGTGGGTGGAGGTCTTGGCAGGGTGGAGAATTAGGGCAATTACCATTTCTGAGAAAATGCCAGAAATACAACACAACCTAATTTCCCCAATTAATTCTTCTGCACTTCAGCTGCTTTGTGTGAAGGGCTCTTAATGTTTCAAACAAGAGGAAGGAGGGGAAAAAAATAAAAGACTCAACATTTGGTTTTCCCTCAGTGTAGAAATGGGGAAGCGTTGAGGAAAAATGTCTGGCTAAAACACAAGATGATGCTGTTACATCTTCCTTTCAGGAGATAAGGAACTCTGCCACAGATTCAATTTGCAGAGGTTTTTATAGAAGCCACAGAGATATCAAAGACCAGCACATTCAATATCACACTGACTTTTCCTGCACGCAGAACACACCAGGACAGGCACAGAGACACTTAACCCATGCACCCACATTGAGCAGTTCCCTCACCTCCCCTGTTTCCAGCCTTGCTGCAAGTTAAGGGCAAATTCGTTCTTTTGCCCCCAAACCACCAGACAGGGCAGTTATGAGGCACCATGGCATGAGGTGTCCACACCTGACACCTGGGGTACACAGATGCTCAGAAGGGCATGAAA